TTATATTTATCATGTGTTCTAAATTCAAAATGTCTCATTCAACGGGCTGCAAGTTTATCCAATGAATCAATCATTGTTAGAAAATATCAAGACAAACAAGATTCTAAAGTAGAACTTTTACCTGTATTAAGAATCCATTGAAGTTGAATGGCTTATAAATTCAAATAAATAAACATTAACCTAAACTTGAAATAGGAAAAAGTAGTTGACAAAATTTTGAGTTTTATATTGACGTAACTTTTAAGGGCTATTAGGTGAATCATATCTGGAAAAAATATAGAGGCACTCTTTACTCCTTGGCTGACCAGGTATGGCATGCCCAATTCTATAATACTACTACAGTAGGCATTATAATGTATTCCAGTTATTGTTGGAGCAACCAAACCACCTTTTGAAAACTGTCCTGGGATTCTGCATTACAACTGTGATTATTTAGTTTTATAGCAGCAGTTTCATTCAGGCACAGCACTAATACACATGCCTGCCTAAATGCTGTTTTTTAATGTGATAGAATAATGCTAAATTTTAAGCAGATCAGAAATTGGTCAAATGGTTACACCTATATATACTTGAACTACTTTAAGCCCCTGTCATTCGGACTGGCTTAACAGCAGGGATTAAACAGGCATCAGCAGGGTTTAATAAGTGAGAAGATGAAGAGCTAGATAGCTATAAAACTGGAATTTTAATTATGCTGAGTCTTGTAAAAGCTTTCTCTATCATTCAGGTGATATCAGTTTTGCCTTTCATTTTTAAAAACTTCTTTTATCTCATATTGAAAAATGTACATTATAATGAAATAAAATTCCAGAAATGGGATCCATTATAAGACTCGTAATGACTGGCTACTTCTCTAAACAATAAGTACATGAGAGCATACAATTGCAATTGATTTGCTCTCCTTAAACTTGATGTATGACTTCTGCAGAAAAACTGAAGAACATTCCAGAGGATTAATTTTTTAAAAATGCATACAAGCACAACATCAATAATATTACTTGTAACTATTTGCTTTGTTTGAAGGAAAACAAAAGTAGAATTTTGTTAGAAGTTTTTTGAATATAGATTTAATACAAACTTATATACAAACATTATATATATATATATATATATATATATATATATATATATATTTGGGTTGCTCGTGTATTCCTGATCTAATTCATTGCTACTAACTTCACAAACTTTTAAACTACTATCAAACATTATTTTTGGAGACCAATGTAGCTAACTACTGAACAAATGTAGTTATATAGTTATAACAAAGTGGTTAGAAGGAAATATTCACACATTGTAACCAGAACTACAAATATATTGTAAACTGAAATACTTTGTGTTACTTGTTTACCAAAGTACAGCCTGATGGTAACCATGAACAGATGTATATTTCTAGTGACTTGGGAACGGTAGGGAGTGAACATTGTATTCATAAGAAATTCTTTATGTGAGATTTGAGAGGTTAAAAGAAGTTTCCTGTCTGCATAGTCAAAATATTATTGAAGCAATTCAGGTTGTCAGTAAAAGATTAAACCAATTTGCTGATAATCCTGTTAATGACCCAGGTCAAGTGTTAACTGTTGCAGGTTATAAAACAGTTAAATTAAGGTTGCCGGTAACCAGGAGCAAATAGTATCATTATAGAAATGGATTAAGGGAAAAAAGTTACAAAATTGCAATTATTATTATTTGATTCATGATGCAAAAAGTGCAACTTTAACATGTTTCCAATTAAAGTGGGGGGATTTGTATCCAGAAAATCTAGGAGACTCTTGAAAAATCCATCTTGAATTGAAAAAAGAGCGGAGTTATAAGTATGTGCTTTTAGACTTAAATTTCTATTATTATTTTAAAAAATCTATTCAAAGCTCAGCAAGGAATAAATTCTATTCATTATTAAGACATTAATTTCTATAACAATTTACTGTTAACAGTTACAAGATTAACTCTTCACAACCTTTTCTATTTATAATCAATATATTTAAAAACAATTTGAGATTATTTAAATGCCTCTATGACTCAATACACAATATACATCCTTAGAACATATTTCAATTTAATTAATATTATATTATAAATAGCACTGAATAAAATTACATTTTACCATGTCTTTGCTTAATTGGAATTTCAATGAAAGATATCATATGGTCCTATTCAGAATGGCTATAATATATATTTTGTGTAATATGCCACATAACCACAGCAATCAAATTATATGGGAAACAAATGCTTTTTAAAAAAAGAAATAGACACACATGCCTAAAAGTAATCAGTTAACACAAGTATGTATAAGTTGGTATCAACTCAGTTCATACAAATAATTTGCTCTGCTCTTCTGAAGAATCATAGATCAAATCATATGTAGAGCTCCAAAATAATTTTTAAGTGTTTTGATCATTAATTCACCAGTAGATGGTATGAAGAAAAGGATTAATCCTTATATGTCCATTCAGGTCCTATTATTGCAATATGGCTAATTTACAGGTAATTAAATTTATTTATTTGTTTGTTTGTTTGTTTGTTTAGATTTATATGCCGCCCTTTCTCCAAGAGAACTCAGGGCAGCTGACAACAACTGCAAGTTTAGTTTCTATATTTATAGGCATGCACTCTTAACAAATTCAGAAAATAGTGACTGTTTTCATCAGTGCTATTTATAATATAGTTATAATATAGTTATGTTATTTTATAAACAGTTCAAATATAGGGAAATTATGCCAAATAATACAGTTTAAAATATATTTTTATTTGAATGTCTGAGAAAACATCCAATGGACTCAAACAGAAACACATTTTTCTATATTTTATTGTATATTTTCCCTATATTTATTCTATATAATACACCTAATTCAAATTACATAAATTTAAAACTTAATATTACTTATAATATACTTATTTCAAAGTTTGGACAATTTAAATAAATGTTGTTGCTTTACATTTAAAAATTAAAGATATAGCTTACTCAGCTAGGTTATTATGGTACTAAGAAATATTATATAGAATCTATTATTGCCCATCAATCCCAAAAGTAAGAAACAAAGAAAGGGGGGAGGGAATCCAACTACATAGATTGGAGAAAGAAAACATATTGTCCAAACAATATCTTCTGTGGACAATGAATTCAATTTTCAGCCAAATTCAAATAGCAAAAAGCAATACACACACACACACACACACACACACACACACACACACACACACACACACATAAAATAACAGATATAACAGATACAAACCTAAGGGGTTTATATAGTAACTGTTGCTATCTTAATATGTAATATGATTTGCCTGCCAACACACTAGGTGGTTTATTGCTCTATTGTGTATTATCCTTGAGTTTTGCTGATAAGACTTTTACCTAACTCCAGAATGGTCTCTCCAGAAAGAGATTTCCTATCAGCTACACACATTCTACTCATTATTTGACTCCAATATATATAGTCAAATTATACACACACATACACTGAATGTGGTTTTACAAGGGAGATATTTTTTCTTTTAAGCCGAAATAAACTGGCTGTTTTCTTACAAAAATCATTTCTGCATTGTTCCTGAATATAGCACTCCTCAAAGCAGAACCAATAAACAAATAAATAACTCTTGTCTTTTCCTGTTGCAAATACAAGACGAAACAAAAACATTTAGAAATCCCTTAAACTAGCAGTGATCAAGCAGGTGCAATATTGTACAGTTACTGGATATGAATTATCCCCACCCTTTTGGCCTGTAGGTTTTGTACACACAAAGTGTGTTTGGATAGTCATGTTGAAGATTGAATGCTTAATGCTGTAACTTCAATGAGACATTACGGAATATATGTGGAATATCTTCTATTATTTTTGGAAAACATCTATTCAATGTTCATATTTTCCTTCAAAATATAGCTTTTGGAATCCCAGTAACAATTTCTTACCCATATTGTACCTATTTAAATTGATTATAACATTCAATTTACATAGCAAAATAAGTGATACCCCTAAGTCACACCAAAGAGAAGTGATTTTTTTTTAAAAAAAGCAACGTTTCATTACATCTAAAGTTTATGCCGCAACCTAATAAAGCAACGCTTTAAAATGCAAACATTAATTTCTATAACATTTTTTTTAAAAAAGTGGGTGGACTACTGGGCTTTTAATTAATTATTTCCGTGGAATGATTCGGTGCAATTACGTCACAATGATAGGTGTAAATGAGTCACCAGCTGCGATCTCTGCAAAAAGAAGTCTTTGCCCTAATAAACTCGTGGGAGATCTCCCGAGTAAAACAGGTTGCCTTCCTTCCCATCATTAGTCCAGATAAAACCACGTCTCTAGTTACTTGACTCAAAAGAAAAGGCGATACGGGATTAGCATCGGTTGTTTTTTTTTGTTTGTTTGTTTTTTTGGAAGCACCGTCTCATTTCTCCAAATCTACTCTTTGTTCCTCTTCCTTTTTGGCTTTCACCAAAAAAAAAAATAGTTGCACGCCGCGTAGTTTACTCTTCCTCCCCTCCTTAGAAGGCAGGCGATCGCATGGTATAGGACTTCCCCGGGAAGGTTTCTCTGCGCCATCACACTTATGCTAATAATCAAACATACACGCCCTATTCATTATAACCTGGATCCAAGTCACTTCGCACCGGCACCCGCTTCGACGCGCGACAGTCAAGCCGCAGCTGATGCAAAACACCGAGAGCTCGCCCGGCTCTCTTTCACCTGCATCTTCCCCAAGAGGGAACTAAAGGGACTCGGGTCCGTCACAGCCAACGAGCCACCAGGCGCGTCCGAACCAACTTTGCCAATCTGCGCCCATTCATAGCTACACCCACCAAAAAAAAAAAACCCCCAGCGGCTGGTCCGGGATGAACGCAGCTCAGCTTTTATCGCTCTTCTTCAGTGGCCCAGGGGGCCCCCTTTAAAAAAAAAAAAAAAAAAAAAGAGCAACCAGCCCTTGGACCAGGTTGGCAAGCGAGGCATTTAACTCCCGGCTTTCCGAAAAGCGGCGCCTCCTCCTCGGCGGCTTACCTTCGTTGGTTGGGTAAAAACTCAGATCTGCCAAGCAGCCGAGCGTAGATCCCAGGAGGAGGAAGAGGAGGCTGGGGAAGTGACAATCCATGCTGTGGCTGGTGCAGAGGGCAGCGCGAGCTGCATCTCTTCCCGGAGCATGCCACTGATGTGAGCGCTCTGATGGCAGGAGAAGTTACCATGCTCCGCTCGCAGCCTGATGTCAAGTTTGACACTGGGAATGAGGAGGAGTCTCGCGGACTGCCTGGGCTGCCGGCAGTTTGCCGGCCGGTACGCCGGGTCCTAGCGCCGCTTCTTTCCTTCCAGCAAGCAAAGCCCGGCGAGGGAAGGAAGGGAGGGGGGGAAATCCCGGAGACTCAAAAGCGACCGAGCGGTGAATGAGAAAGGAGGAGCGTTTTGCAGGAAAACGGCCGGGGAGGTGGGTGGCTCTGTGCGTGGTGGGCAGCGGACTTCGCGACCAAACCCCTCCTTGTTTGGAGCGCCCTTTTGATTAAAATAAAATAATAAAATAAAATAAAATAAAATAAAATAAAATAAAATAAAATAAAATAAAATAAAATAAAATAAAATAAAATAAAATAATTAAATTAAATTAAATTTAAAAAACACCCCTAAAAAACAAGTGTCGGCTTTGATTCTAACCGAGGCGTGGCGTTATCAATAGTACCCCCCCTCACACACACACACCCTGACCTCCGCTTTTGTTTCGGCCAAATCCAAAGTAACAGCCGTGCCGTACAGCATAAGCGAAAAATATGTCCGGAGGTGCAGGATGGTGGGGGCTGTGGGGGGGTGGAAAGTAGGAAACATCTCGGACAAAATCCTCGTTGAAAATCTCCGAGCTTTGCCCTCTTGAGCTGTGCTGCAGTTTTACTTAGCCTCTGCACTTGGAGGTAACTCAGCAACTCCGTCTAGTCTGCAAACCTCCGCCTTCCGACGATACTCTGACCTGAGGTGATTTAAACGGCCCTTTTCTCGGTTAACCCAGTTAAACTGCGTCCCCCATCGCCCGCTGAACTAAGAGCTAATCACATGAGATGGGTTCGCAGCACAACCTACCAGGCTAATATGAGGTTGGCTAACTAACCAGTAGGCTAGATTTGTTTCATTGGTCTAAATCCTGCAAAGCCCAGGCTCGGCTGCTAGGGGGAGGGGGAGACGGGGTGAATCTTTCTATGGGAGGGAGGGAGAGGGGAGAGAGAGAGAGAAAAAATGACTGAGTGAATAAATAAATATGAATCACTTCTGACTTTTTTTTTATTTGATTTATATGCCACTCTTCTCCGGAGACTCAGGGCGGCTTACAATGCGTTAAGCAATAGCCTTCATACTTTTGTATATTTTATAGAAAGTCAGTTTATTGCCCCCACAATCTGGGTCCTCATTTTACCTACTTTAGAAAGCATGGAAGGCTGAGTCAACCTTGAGCCTGGTGAGAATTGAACTTGCAGTAATTGCAGGCAGCTGATGTTAATAACAGTGCTTTAGTCTGCTGCCCCACCAAGCCCCTTTCTCTGGATGCTGAAGAGAGGACAGGACCCACAATGCTAACTGCCCAGAACTGCCCAGAACAGGAGAGGAAGGGAGAAAATGGGCACCACTGGCCACGAAGCCTGGCTTGTCATCTCTCTCTAATCCAGGGATAAATCTTCCAAGGGATTTCCCAGCTGAGAAGGAGAGAAGTGGAAGGATGGAGAGATGCTTTTCTTGGATCTTTCTTTTCATCCTGTACTACTTAACCATGGAAGAGATGAGAGGCTGATTTGTTTACTTGCTTCTGTTTGATCACTTTTCCCTTGATTTTTCTTTTGAAGGGAGGTGGTGGCAGTAAACTGTCACCTTAAAACATGTGCAAGTTTTTTACTCCAGTAAAGAACGTGATATCTTGCTGGACTGAAGTAATTGTCAGATTTTGGACAACAGATTTTGGAGACGGAGGAGATCATTTTTGAAGAATGGTATAACGATCACTTCCTTCAGTTTCAGATCTTCACTGAAGCAAAGAAAGAAAAGGGAGGACGACGACTTCCTCATAAATAAAAGTAAAAGAAAATCAATTATGCATCTGTTCTTTATTTATCAGCTCACAGGGCACCCCAGGATATAAGCTAGCCATTTTCTTCGGAAATGGGAATCCTCTTATTTTTACCGCTTGTGGCATCATCATACACTTTGTTTCCTTTGTGCATGTGTAACTAGACATTCAATCATTCAGCAGTTTTCTAAAGCAGGAACTGCTTGGAAAGAATAACCAAGTTTTTATAAAAATTCAAGTTATCTGGATTTTCTAGCACCCTATGATCTCTGGATCCCAGATGTGCAACCAGATTTAATATACATCTCAGACAGGGGTGAAATCCAACAGGTTCTGGAGAACCGGTAGTGGAAATTTTGAGCAGTTCAAAGAACAGGTACCAGAAATTTTGAGTAGTTTGGAGAACTGGCAAATAATAGCTCTGGCTGGCCCCAGAGTGGGGTGGGAATAGAAGTTTTGCAATATCCTTCCCCAGGAGTAGGGAGGGAATGGGAATTTTGAAGTATCCTTCCCCTGGAGCAGGGTGGGAATGGAGATTTTGCAATATCTTTCCCCTGCCATGCCCACCAAGCCACGCCCACCAAGTCACATCCACAGAACCGGTAGTAAAAAAAATTGGATTTCACCATTGATCTTAGAAATGGGTGGGCAGAGGTTCACCCTCTGTAATAAGTACTGTAGGGCAAATGACTCTAAAGAGCTAATGTCAAGGGTCATGCTGCCAAGTAGCAACCTCAATAACCAAGTAGTAGCAGTGATAGGGACAATCATGATAAACTCTCAGGGCTATCAACACCACAATTGTCTTTGTTCTTAATTTGGGTGAAATGCATTTTATTATTGAGATTAACTGGCTACACATTGGATACTTAATGGATTTCTCATTTTATTTACTTAATGCCCAACTGCTGCTTTGTTCTCAAATAATTGAAGCAGACTCCATTTAATTTTCAGACTACATATTGACCACATCTCTCTGTAGGAATGGGCCTGTCTCTTCTTCATGAAAAAGAAGCACATGGATATTCCCTACTTTCCCCATTTTCAGAAGGCTAAGTGGGTCAGTGCTTGGAAGTGGTTTGTTTGTTTGTTTTGGTGGTGCCATTGACCCTTAGGAATGACCTTCTACTTGAAGTTAGATCTGCTCCTACCGTTCCAGAAGATATTGAAGACTATTGTTTATTCTGGAGGGCATTTAAGTCATAATGTGTCTTAGGTGTTTTAGATTCTTTTTCTGTATTTTTTTGTTTTTTGTATTGGGATTATATGGTATTTGTAAACCAAAGAGAGTCTGTTAGAGAGTCTGCAGAAAGGAAAAATGTAACTGTTCAATTAATCAATTTCTCTATTGTGGAGATGCTATGAGTTCAATTAAAACTCACTTAGAAGTTTTTTTCTTCTACTACTTTTTTTGGTCAAAGTTTGAAACAGTTCCTTCCATTCCCAATATATTAGAAAAGTCAAATAGGTTGTAAAACATGGAATAGCATCAGGCAGGAAGAAATTGTCAGCTGTCAGCTTCAGAATGCCTGTTTCTTCATCCCTATATTTCTTTCTTTTACAAACATTATCAATCTTTAAGATGCTAAAATTACTGCCCTACTGCAGTTGGGACTTGTAGAAAGCATGAACCAGCAATTCTACCTTTGACAGGTATTTGGAAGTGCAGCTGGCACAGAAAGCAGCTATGTGGATAGTTCTTGGGGCCCATCAGTTGACCCATGTAAGATCCCTGTGGCACAAACTGCACTGGTTGCTGGTTTGCTCTGCCCGTAGTCCTTTTAAAATAGATTTGATGACTATTCAGTGGAACAGCTTCCTTCAGAAGTTGTGGGTGCTTCCTCACTGTAGGTTTTTAAGAAGAGACTGGACAACCAGTGGTCTGAAATGGTCTAGGCCTCTAGGGTGTCCTGCTTCAACAGAGGCTTGGACTAGAACAGGGGTCTGCAACCTTAAACACTCAAAGAACCATTTGGACCTGTTTCCCACAGAAAAAAAAAACACTGGGAGCCACAAAACCCTTCCTGTGCCTGACTTATTTCTTGAGCGGCCACAAAACTAGCATATGTAGTTGAATTAAATGTTCTGTTTTCTTCTGAAACTTTTCTTTTCTTGAATTTATCCATGGTTGGCCTACTGGGGGTTGAAAAGCTCAACAAATCACGTGCCGGCGGGTGTCGCACATTGGCGGTTGTGACACATATTTTGAGTGACAGGGAGCCGCAGCAGAGGGGTGAAAGAGCCACATGCGGCTCCAGAGCTGTAGGTTGCTGACCCCTGGACTAGAAGATATCCAAGGTTCCTTCCAATCCTTTTATTTTATTACTCTGTTACTTAGATATTCAATAGATCTGTACATTCATCCTTAAAATTTAGATATGATAATTGTCTCAGTGAAGGGTCACTGAAGAAGATCAGTATCTAAAGAGTTTTAGGCTATGTCGAAAACTATAATCCCATAAATGATACTATATTTTGATCAGCGTAGTTTTATCCTTTTTCCAGAATCCATTCTCACATTCAACAGTGCCTCACTGACATAATATAATTAACACAATTTAAATAGAGAAAGGATGCTGTGTTTGGCATTGATTTTGTGTTTTATGATTTAAAACTGTCCTTTTCTACTTCAAATCTGAGATTAATATTGGATTGCTAAAATGCTCTTAAGACATTTTTTAAACATGATTTCTTGAATAAACCATGACTCTCTTGAGTTTGCAAAACATGCTAGCCAAAATCAAACAAGCCACTTTATGTGCAATAATGATCCCACACACCACACACAAATAACATTAAAAATGTTATTATAATCCTGTTATGCAAAAAAGTAAATTCAATAAGTATATCATCCTTCTTCAGATTTAGCATATTTAAGATATATGAAAGGTGACCAAGTTTTTTTTTTAATTTATATATTTGTTTGTTTATATGATTTCTATCTCTGCCTTCATAGTAGTGATTATGGGTAGCATACAAAAGTAAAGCAACATCATTTGCATCAGTTGGAGAAAATATTATGCTTTAGTCATAGTGGCAAAAGTGGATTATTATTTTAAACTATCAAACAATTACATTAAATACACACACACTGGAGCTACCTGCTCTTTTATTTCATAGAAGTGTAGAGTACTGAACCAGACTGATAAAGATTAAATTTTAACTCTGCCTTCATTTGGAATGAAAAAAAAGTCCATTTATAGCAGAGAGTTCAGTTTTATGTTTGGCAATTTGAAAAACTAAGCTCCATTGAACTGAGGGGTTCTTAGTAAACATGAGTGCCTCACATAAAATACTGACAGGCAATCCCTGCTGGACCCAAAAAGTTG